TGCAGTCGATCTCTAAATCAAATTACTCCAAGATTACAACTAAAAGTGCAATGCGTTAACAATATCTATCACAATTTATTTCAGCTTTGGGTGCGGGTGTTTCGAATTCTGTGAAATTTCAGTAGACAGAGCTAGAACCCTGTTTAAGCTTTTAAAGGGTTTGTTAAATCTATTTTCCAGAAGGTATGATGGAGAAAGTTTGTCTCGGAGCACCTAAATAAATGGAGAAACCTTGCACCTACCATATAAGTAAACATCCATTAGGTGATGCAGATGGTGCGTCACTAACAAATATAATTTCTTGAGTTTAGTGACCGTTGCAGTTTACATAAATCAGCAGCAGCAGAAGCTAAGTTGAAAAAAAGGTGATAGGTTTTGATTACCTCCCTTCCCCCTCCATACTTGTAAATCTCTAAGGCCCGTATGCACGTACATCCCCGCGGGGAGGGGATGTGCGCTTAACCATTGAAATGATCCCCGCTGGGGATCCCCTCCCCTCCCCGCGCGAACCCCCGTATGCACAAAGACAATATCGGACAAGGGATCTCCTGTGGGGAGGGGAAGTGAACCCCCTTATGCACAAGAGGGGATTAAGCGGGGAAATCACCTTGCTTTCAAATTTTCTATGAAAAACTCTTGCTTATTTCATATTTTGACTGCAACTCATCTTCATCTCTTCACTTTCAATAATTTAGGATTGCGGAATGCGCGTATGCAGTGACTGCGCTCGCGGCACCAAAAATTATTTTTTCTACTCCCATTATGTTCCTGCTTTCTTGGATGCTGCCCACTCTCGCTCATGCTGCCCCATTTCAGCGTAAAAATGTTGAACTATAGAAGTTGATGTGTCTCTGCTAGGGAATGGGTAGAACACGTTATGCTGCTGAAAAGGGGGGGGGGGCCGCGCGGACGCTCAAAGCAGTATTTTAACACATAACAGAAGCTGCAAATTGTGCCAGCTCTCCATAAACGCTGTAGCTATCAGCTGCATATTGTCCTTTATCCCAGGGGAATGATCCCCAGCGGCCATCCCTGCTATGCACAAGGGGAACGCTGGGGAGGAGATCACTCCCCCGATGATCTCTACTCAGAAACACGCGATTCTGCTAATTTTCATTTTATTCAAAGCAGTTTTACGCTAGAATAACAAGATAAAGAAAGTTTATCATATAATGTGATAATTACAATATGTTGTACCAGCCTTTATGGATGAAACAATCATGTCAAGTAGAAAATGCGCAGCTCTCGTGAATGGTCTCAAACTTCTACAGATATTCGAAACTGGCGGATATATGTCCGGATTTCTTTACAAGAAGCGACTATGGAAGAGAGAGTTAAAACTGCAAGCTACAGGCGCTGAGAGAGGAACCCGGCTCCCATAGAAAATCTTTCATCAATTTGAACGAAATGCTTTGTGATAATTGATTGAAATCAGAATACTCGCTTCTCTGGCTTGACCTACACCATCGAACCCCTACTCCGTTGTAGGGGATGTCGATCCCCTCCCCCGTGTTATTGAGTTGAATTCGCGCATACGGGGATCGAGTGGGGAGGGGAAAGGGATCCCCTCCCCCACGCGAACCCCGTATGCACTGGGGTTCGCTCGATCAATACCTCTGAAACCATTCACATCATCCCCGCTTAGGTGCAGGGGAGGGGATCGCTCCCCTCCCCTCTGTCATGGCGGGGTTCGGCGGAGGGGATCGTTCCCTTGGGGATCCAGCTCCCCTCCCCTCCCCAGCGGGGATGTACGTGCATACGGGCCTAAGGCCCGTATGTACGTGCATCCCCGCTGGGGAGGGGAGGGGAGCTGGATCCCCAGGGGAATGATCCCTTTCATTGAACTCCGCTATGCAAGAGGGGAGGGGAGCGATCCCTCCCTGCATCTACAGCGGGGATGGTGTGATTGCGATAATCGCATCTAGCTCACGGCTACCAAAAAATCTCGCCAAAAAGGCTGTTTTCAGCCAGTTCTTGTGTGCTAGAATGGCTTTTGGAATGAAATATACAAGAATACTAATTTTGCATGCATTTGCTCCTTTCTCACTCACCCCCTTATTGTAACTCTCTCTCCTTCGCTCCCTTCTTCTTCTTCCTTACTACTGGTTTCAAGGCTACGTTATTTTCGTTACTTGCTGTCAGTAGGTAGCAATGTTAAATTTGAATTAGTGTGAGTCTACTTAGCAGTTCATATTATGATTTGCTCGCAGAATGTTATGGCGATGTACTTCTCCTACAAAGGAATTCGTGAGCATGCAACAGTTTGTAGTTTCCGTGGTTTTTTAACGTTTACCGGTCATTCCTTTGCAGTACTCTTTCGCTCCTTCAATTTCGATTTGGTTTCAGAGGTAACGATCGAACCCCATGGGATCCCTTCCCCTCCCCACTCGAACTCCGTATGTACTAATGTAAGTTAACACGCGGGGGAGGGAATCGACATCCCCTGCAACGGAGTAGGAGTTCGATGGTGTAGCTCATGCCAGAGAAACGAATATTATGGTTTCAATCAGTTATTACGAAGCATTTCGTTGAATCATTACCTTGAAAGCCGGGTTTTTGTCTCAGCGACCTATAGCTTGCAATCTTGTCTCTCTCTTCTATATTCGCTTCTCAAAAGAATCCCGAGCATACAATAGCTACCAGTGAATTTTGCAGAAGTTCTTGATCATTCAAGAGAATTGCGCATTTTTCACATGATATGATAGCTTTGAGCATATAGGCTGATCAAACACATTGTAATTATCATATTGAATGATATATTGCCTCTGTCTTGTTATCCTAACATAAGCTGCCTTGAAAATCTAGAATATAGCAGATTTTTTATTTCTGGTTAGAGATCCTCAAGGGAGTGATCCCTTTCCCAGCGTTTCCCTCGTGCGTAGCAGGGATGGCCGCTGGGGATCATTCCCTTGGAGGAATGGACGGGTATGGCGCTAATAGCTACAGCTTCCATGAAAAGTTGGCACGTTTTGCAGCTCTGTTCTGTGTAGAAATGCTGTTTTGAGTGTCCGCGGCCCCCCCCTTTTTTTCGGCGGCATACCGTTCTTCTACCCATTAATGCAGAAACATCTTGACCTTTTATTGTTGAACACCTGCTAGAATGAACAGCATAGGCGAGCGTGAGCAGCGTTCATGGAAACAAATACGAATCTAATGGGCATAGGAAATATTTTTGTCAGCGCAATCACGGCAAACGCGCATTCAGCAAATAAAATTGCCGATGACAGAAGGAAGACGAGTAGCTGTCAAAAGGAAAACAGAGGAATAATTACCATAGAAAAGCGGAAACGGATTTCCCCGCTCGATTCCACTTGTGCATAAGGGGGTTCACTTCCCCTACTCTCAGGGGATCCTTCTCCGACATTGTCTTTGTGCATACAGGAGTTCGCATGGAGAGGGGAGGAGAGCCTCAGCGGGGATCATTTCAATGGTAAAACGCACATCCCCTCCTAGCGGGATGTGCGTGAATACTGGCCTAAGGCCCGTATGCACGTACGTCCCCGCTGGGGAGGGGAGGGGAGCTGGATCCCTAGGGGAACGATCCTCTTCGCCGAACCCCGCCATGACAGAGGGGAGGGGAGCGATCCCCTCCCCTGCACCTAAGCGGGGATGGTGTGAATGGTTTCAGAGGTATTGATCGAGCGAACCCCAGTGCATACGGGGTTCGATTGGGGGAGGGAATCCCTTCCCCTCCCTCACTCGAACCCCGTATGCGCGAATTTAACTCAATAACGCGAGGGAGGGGATCGAACATCCCCTACAACGGAGTAGAGGTTCGATGTAGGTCAAGCCAGAGAAGCGAGTATTCCGATTTCAATCAATTATTACAAATCATTTCGTTCAATTTGATGAAATAATTACCTTGAAAGCCGGGTTCTTCTCTCAGCGACCTGTAGCTTGCAGTTTTAACTCTCTCTTCCATATGCGCTTGTACTATTTAAAAAGAAATCCGGACATATATCTGCCAGTTTCGAATATCTGTAGAAGGTTGTGACCATTCACGAGAGTTGCGCATTTTTTATTTGACATGATAGTTTTATCCATTAAGGCTGGTACAACATATTGTAACTATCACATTAAATGATAAATTGTTCTTATCTTGTTATCCTAACGTAAAACTGCTTTGAATAAAATGAAAATCAGCAGACTCGCGTGTTTCTGAGTAAAGATCCTCGGGGGAATGATCCCCTCCCTATTGCTCCCTTCGTGCATAGCAGAGATGGCCGCTGGGGATCATTCCCCTGGGGTAAAGGACGGTATGCAAGTGATAGCTACAGCGTTTATGGAGAGCTGGCACGATTTGCAGCTTCAATTATGTGTAGAAATGCTGGTTTGAATGTCCGCGGCACACCCCCCCTTTTTTTTTCGGCAGCATAACGTCTTCTACCCATTCACTGCATATACATACACCTTGACTTCTATCATTGAACACCTTTAAGCTGAAATGGGCAGCATAGGCGAAAATGACCAGCATCCATGAAAACAGCTAATATAATGGATGTAGGAAATATTTCTTTAGTGTGCCGATCGCAATCACGGCAGACGGTATTCCGCAACGACTGAATATCGCCAAGACACATTGAAGGCGAGTAGCTATCAAAAGATAAGAAAAAAGGAATAATTACTGCAAAAAAGCGGAAGCAAAATGAATTCCCCGCTCGATCTCCCCTTCTGCATAAGGGGGCTCCCCTCCCCTACTCCCAGGGGATCTCCTCTCCGGTATTGCCTTTTTGCATACGGGGATTCGCGTGGGAAAAGAGGGGAGCCCCAGCGGGGATCATTGCAACGGTTAAACTCACATCCCCTCCCCGCGGGGATGTACGTGCATACAGAGTCAGAGGTCTGCGAGTAATAATACTCTCCGAAAGATCAACGCGCAAAAGACAAGCTCATATTCTGTGAAATGTCTTGTTTGCTGAGGTGCCACTAAAAACACTATCAAACTCTGTTATCGTCCTTTACAAACATATTGAATTTATTATTATAAGTACGTCCGTGTTGTTTCAGCTTCTCTTGGGCGATTTGTACTTGCTTACATATACATACATAAAAGACAGAAGGAGCCCTCGGAATTCAGATCAGATTCAGACTAAACTTCGCTTGTAAAAATGTTCAAACTTCTCGTTCTTGCAACGGTATGTTACGCCTTGCTTTTTCATTCGAACGTCACTCAGAACTTAACTCTTTTCAGCTGTTTGTATTGGCAGCAAGTATATCAGTTCAAAATTTGGTACGCGATATGGTGAGTTTCTGAAGTCATTGCTCTAATCAAGGTAATCGCATTTGTGCATTTTTCCTGTTCATTTCGGCGCACCTTTGAGTGCATCGAAATTAAATGAACGAAAAACTGCGCTGCAAATATAGGTGCGATCAGTGACTTTTTTTGGTGAGCAACACTTTAAAGCTTTGACAACAGATGCTCAAAAGAATTCTGATATGATTTTAGAAACTTGATTATTCGATAAATTGGGTACCGGGCAATGCGTATTTATAATTAGCAATATATCAAATCAAAACCACAGGTTTCTCCTCATTTTCTTCATTTTCTCTTTTTAATAGACTTCAACAGCTTTCGTGAACTTCTAAAACTCAACCGTAACCTATTAAGAGGTTAACCAAGAAATGTTGACCTGAATTTTGTGAAAATTTACACATGACCCACGTTTTCAGAAAGATTACAAAGGCTATAAAGTACCAATTCTTCGACCTCGTTGTTCATGTCACTATACTTGCTTCATTCACATTCTTCCGATTTGAATGATCTTACAATCCGGGGGTAGAGGACATTAGGTTGCCAATATGTGCACCCACGCGTACATTCATCAGGGCTCATTATGTGCAAAGGAGCGCGTTCTGTTGCAAATGTCCGCGCAGACCTCCTCTTTCGGCGACAAGTCCCCCTATCCCAACCGGGCTTCACCCGGGTAGCTTTTTTTGCCTAAGCTCGCTAGCCTCTAACGCACCAAACGCGCTACAGATTCTTAAAGTAAATCAATCATCTTCGTCATTCTGAAATACTGCAAAAAGTTCTTCGTGGACCTAGCCTTGCATGCGCCAGTCTACAAAAATGACGAATGGTCAAGAGTCCAATTTTGTCCACTAAGTAGCACCTAAAATTTTGCTTTACGAATTCTCAGAAAAACATTAGAGGCCTGGCTATTGGCTTTTGTAATTCACTTACGACCTGCAAATTAACCGAATGTTGCAATGAACTTTCAACATTCGTACTTCAAATTCATTTTGATTTTTTTGTATAGGACAACAACATTTTGGACCTGAAGAGTGGACAACCTGGAGAAGTAATGGAGATGGTAAGTTTGTGGCTTTGCATCAACATGGAATTCATATATTCTAAGTAATAAGTACTAAACTACCGTACATAAAATTGCCTCACACGTCCTGATGTCACCCTAACTGTTCATACTTGCAAAATTCTAAAAGGGTTTCTTTCGTTGTTTGTATTTGCATCAGAAGATAGTCCTCAACTAATCGGACCAAGTTGTATCCGTCATTATAACTGAGAATCATAAAAGATGTCCTAGAAGTATATGATAGGCCAACTGCCACTATGCAACAAATGAAAAGGTTACATTTTGATCGAGGGTAGTTTAGTACACGGAAAGGATTCATCTGGATAAGGTTGAATACGGAAAGTAACTGGAATGAATAATGATAAAGGACCTAAAAAAGTTCTTACGACGTCACCCATGTGTTCTGCAGTTTGTATCGTGATCACAGTCTCTTTGAGTAAAAGCTTTCGTTTTTAGGTCAGACACAGTCCACAGGAAATGCAGAACAGATATTCGGAATTAGTTGATAATATTTTTATGAGCGTTATCAGTAATATTGTGGGTGGCAACGAAAGTGAGTTTGTATACCTAATTTGCGGCAGATGCGAGTTAGTTGCTACTAAATTTGCAGAAAAGCACATCTATCCGCTCTAATCTCAGAAAGGAGCATTTGGAACCATACCTTCAACTCAATAGATTTTCGAAAATAAATTGTTGTTACAGTTTGGATTCTACCTTGCAAGCTATACGTACTCTTGCTATCAATATAGAAATTATGTATAGGTACACGATTCATGACACGCAAAGATCGGGCGCCGTTGCGTCCGGCCAAGATAGTTCGTGCATGGGAGAGACAACAGATGGTAAGAGAAAAGAAAGAGCGCTTGATCAGAGAGACGCCGATACGTCCGCAGTTTTTCGTGCTATGAGCCGCCTATAATTGCTAGTGTAAACATTTTTTTCTCACTACGGCGGAGTGCATATGTATATTATTTCAATGTTCAATTGAGAAAAACATAAAATGGTTGAGCGTGATTGCTTACTCAACCCGAAGTGTTAGATAATTACTTTTTAATTAGGTAGAACATTTTATGAAGGATCCGTACGCAAATAGATGCTATCGTGATAATGGCCATCCTGACATCTATCTGCAAATGCTAATTTTATGAGAATGGGAAGGGCGTGTCGTGATGGACAATTGCATTCGATGATCTTCTCTTATATGTTACATACAAACATACAGGGTGTCCCAAGAAAATGTCCCAATAAAATCCACTGTTTGATTGTTAATAACTCTCTTATTATGAGGTCTTTCGAAAAGCGGTAAGCGCCATTTTGGCTTCAGCTTAGATTTACAATACAGAGCGAAACGTCCATCTTTCTCCGTTACTGTAGGGTTACGGTAGAAACTTGGAACATATGGTGTCACTGTGGAAAAAGCTGCCGTTTCAAAAAATTTCAAAAAATGTGAAAACTTGTATAATAGGGTTTTTAGGGGCGCTGAATTCAATACTCAACTATTCGCGAGATTGCGAAGCTTTTAAAGGTGTAACTGCACTTTTTAGGAACATTGAGTAAATGGCTGCTACTGCTTACCTCGCATAACTCTTCAGTGAAGCATCATAATAAGTTGGGAACTTCACAGTTAGAGTCAGCAACTCCAATTGGCCTAGTGTAAATTCAGGCTGTTTTGATTCCTTCTGAGGCAAAATATGGCCTTTCATGGCCCAAAACCCTCTTTCAAGTTTCTACCGTAATCCTACAGTAACGGAGAAAGATGGACAATTCGCTCTATACTGTAAATCTAAGCTGAAGCCAGCTCTACAAAATGGCGCTTACCGCTTCTGCTTTGCCCTAGTGGAGTTCGTTGTCTCGCGTACTTGGGCTGTGTGTCCCCCAAATTCTGAATTTGTGACTACAAAACACACTTATTTGATGATTTAGCGATCATAGACCACATTGGCTCCCAACTGCTGGATTGTTCGGCTACCATCCTCCCTCAAAGCTGCCTACAGATGCTCAACGTTGACGCCGAAGTGACATCAAAAACATACCTATTTTTGAGCTTACAATATGAATTTTCGGAAGATTTTAGCACCTATAAGTAATCTGCGGAAGCTAAGTATTCTATTTATACACTTCGCAAAATTTCTGTGGCTGTTTCTTAAGCGTTAAAAACCATTCAAGACCCAGCGTAATATAGTTGTCAATGGGATTTTCGCTCTTTCGGATTTTTCGGTTTGTAGTGGAATTTATTTATCTAACTTTCTGAAATTGGGAATATGATGAAAGCAGTCTGATAGAGCAGACTTAGAGCTTCCGAATGCATACAAACACTATGCCAAATGCATTGTGAAATACTGAGAAAAATTGAAACAAAAAATGCGAACGAACTTATTACACAACCTAATATTATGACCCGTAAAATGGGAAGAAAAGACCTCCGCTGATTGTGCAAGAGCGTAGCCATTTCCTTGATCCACAGCTTGGATGATTTTGTGACTTATTGTTAGTCCATCAAGTAGGATTTTTTAGGCACTACCACTTTCAAGTCGTGATAATTTTGAGTTTGGAGCATCCTTTGGTCTGGTAAGTATAGTGGTGATTTTTACATTTGAGAGAGCGTTGCGATTAGTCTATTAGATAGAAGCCTGTACTTACAGGGTTTGGAAGGTCTTTCTAATACCGCAAGAAGATATGTAAGTTCCTTCCCGTCTTTCGTATTTCACAAGCTAGCTCTTGCAATATTTGCAGCGCCGAAAATCGCGCAACAATTTCTAAAAAACGTAAAGGCATATTTAACCGCAAAAGGGATGGAACAGCTTTGATAAATTCTTGAGTCGCACTTCTGACTCCATCTTGATATTTCTGAATTACTCTGTGATGTACCAGATATGCACATATAGGATTGGGTACCCAATTACGTCTCATTCAACTTTCATATATGATAGCAGTAAAAGTGCTGTAAATCTTATAGAATCATTACTTGCTAAACATAAATTTAAAAAATTAGGCGAAGAACTTGCAAAATCACCGGCTGTTGAGTATTCATTTCATTGCCTTTCAGCTATGTCCCAAACTTATACTGTTTTTTTACAGTATAACAACCAGGGTAACGGAATTCGTGGGCCTCAAAACAACGGGGAAACGAACGGGGAACAGGTAACTTGTGGTCTTTTATTCTAGTAGGATTCACTTGCAATAAGTTTTTTCATAAAGGAAATATCATTTCACAAAGTCGAGAGAAATATCACTTAAGGTACGGGGCCAACTGCAGTGTGGGGAACATTATTAGCATCTCCGCTCCCGCGCGGCAGCTTCGCCTGGACTTCGCACCTCTTTCGCAAACGCGCTCTCTGATCGCTTTCCCTCCTCGACGTGGGTAACAGGGCTCGGCACAGGTGGCTTACAAGGAAGCTGGATATCGTTTTTGGGACGAAAAGCAAAGGGGGTTTCGTTTTTGTGACCGAAGAGAGACGCAAAATTGGCGACGGCGACCTTTTTTTTTTAGTCGACGTTTCGTTTTTTGGGGGATTTTGGAGAATTTTTCAGGTTTTTAGAGGAAATTTGGTTGAGGGTCAAAGGGGACTTCGTAAAAATTCCCAAAAGTCAAGGGGGACTTCGTTTTTTCCATTTTCATCTAGCCACCTCGTGCCGAGCCCTGGTGGATAAGGCAGTGCCTCAGTCAGTTGGATATGATTAAAGAGCATATTCACGGAAGAGGTGCGGTCCCGCGCGGGAGTGGAGATGCTGGTGTACACGACACTGCAATTGATAAGCCCTGTAAGTAGGCTTGCCTTAATTCATTTATATCCTTCTGGTGCGATCCTGAGTGATTATGGCAGACTTTCTGAGAGTTTTGCTGTAGATAATTCTTTCGACTGCTAAGCCAGACGTAGATGTTATTAGCTTTATCGTTAGCAGTTATCGTTTCGGATTGTTCGCCTCAGAGCCCAAATGTTATAGGGAGATACCTGCTGGGTGTTGGTGTAGATAATTCCTTCACTAAAAAATACGGCTCATACTCAAACTGGCGAAGTGTACTTTCGTAATGTACCATATAATCGGTCGTGCTAAAGATATAGGGCAGGAGGCCACAATGCAAGTAGTGAAAATGACCACGGAGTTTCGGCTGGAAGGCGACCGCTTGAGCACGCGACGCAGTCTGCGTCTCTTACGAGCGTGCTCTCTCATCATTCTCTAGCCGTAACTGGGCCTCGAATCCCCCCTTCCAGCCGCCAATCCCATTGAATCAAAGGGTAGTAGCCACCCAATTATGACTGAATAGGTAGCGTTGTCTTCTGGTGAGATCGTTTCGCCTGGTTGAGTATGGATTTTTGTATTTGTTTTGAAGGAATTTTTCCGAAAATTTAGTTTTGCAGCATGCATTGTGACCACCGTTCCTCTGTGCTAAAACTCTCATTTTACAGAATGGAAACGATTTGAACAAATCGCTCAAATACTTTGAGATACTGTAGGATTTAGAACATGCTGCCTTTGGTAAGTTCCCATACATAGCTGTAAGCGATCGCCACAAGAGTATATAGTTCATTATTTAAAAGCGTGAATTATAGAATAGGCACTATTATCTGAATTGCAGAAAGGCGCATCTATCCACTCTGATCTTGTTTGGAGCATCTGGAGCTGCATCTTCAACATAGCAAAATCATTCAAAAATAAATTGTTAATACAATCTGGAATTTGCTTTGCTAGCTACAAATTGAGTCTGTTAGCTGAGAAGTCTAGTTGTAATAATTGGTGTGCACTGATTTGAACGCTATAGACAGTAACATTTGATAGTGTTTTAAGTTCTTTGTGAAAATAGGGGGTGAGGATGATAGTCTTACATTCTCGACCGAACCGATAATTGGGAAGTCACCTTTGTCGCACTTTCTGTATTATTCTGGATTTCTGATCCAGAATGGATGCATTTGCTCAATTTTACCCTTTGAAAAAAAAAACGATATTCTGCGCTTTGTAACTTGGTATTACTCAAAAAAGATGGACGTTAGAAATAAAGGATTCGCAAGTGACAAATGATAGAATTAAAAGAAGAAGTGACTTCCTCAGCTTTAATTTGAGTCAAGCCATTTGAACGTTTAAAGTCTAAGAATTGTTAGAATTAGGGCAAAAGAGAGATTTTAGGATTATGTCGTGTTCGTCGAAAACCATGAAATTTCTGACAGCTGGTGGCATTCGACAAGCACAAACTGTCTCAAAATAAAAGTTTCATTACTTAGCTGTCAGAATCCATTGCAAGGTTAAGATTGGCAATGAGTTGAAAATTGTTTTCCTCAACTTCAATTTCTAAGCCTTCGTAGATGGTACAACAAGCAGTCAATAGCTAGCATTATCAAGGATACTGTGAAACTTTTATTCAAAGCTAATGCAGTCGCCCGTCTTGCGTTTGCCAGAATTTTTTTGAAATCCCCTTCCATCTAAGCGAAGCTGAGCATTCGAAAAAAGCAAAAAACATGGCCCGAGTCCTAGGACAGCTCAATAGAATTTATTCGATGGCTTTCGAACCTGTACTTCTACTAATTTTTCTCGCAATTACCACAATCCCCAAAGTAGATAAAGTCGCTCATATCACTCAATTAGTTTTAATGCGTCCCATTCGTTGGCTCGACATATGCCGTTTTCTCTTTGAACCG